AAAAAAAAAAAAAAGAAAAAAACATCGGGAATCGGACCTAGGCGCCTCCAAGGCCTGGGGGGAGGAGTTGGGGAGTGGGGGAAGGCGGGCAGCAGGGCGCGGGCTCAGGGGACAGCGCGGAGAAGGAGCCGAGACCTGAGGGAGAAGGCTGTGACCCGAGAGGCGCCCACTCACGCCTCCACAGGGTGGTCGCGCCCCCAGCAGGGTGTCCGGCCGCGGCCCGAGGTGGGCTTGTGGAGGGCAACGCTGCCCCAAGGTGGGGATGGAGAAGAATCGAAAAGGAAAAGAGAGGCAGGAGAGGGAGGCCTGCAGTGCAGATCAGGGCAGTGGCTCCCAGGAGGCCAGGCCTTCACCAGCTCCGTGGCCCCTCTCTCCTCTGGGCCTCCAGTCCCTCCAGGGAGGCCGCTTCCATTCACCATGAAGGCCAGTGGAGAAAGGAGCTGAGGTGGGGAGACCGGAGCTCGGCACCGCTCCCTCCTCAGGATGATGATCCCAGGTACCAGCAGAAAGGGCTGGGCCCTGATGGGCTCGACAAATAAATGCTGAGAGAGCAGGACTTTCCAGACCCAGGGATATGAAGGAGAGAAAAGGGGCCCCTGCCCTGTGGTACACACAGCACGGGTGTGAATGCACAACTGTGCGCTGAGGAATGAAGTCACCACATATGCTGCACCGACTGTTTCCCTGAGCCAGGAACTTCACCTATGTTAACTCTTTTTGTTCTTTCTTTTTTTTTCTTTTTTTAAAGCAGGATTTATTGAGAGGACAGAAAAGCTCCCACAATGGGAGGGGACCTGGAGGTGGGGAGGGGCTCTTCTCTCTTAAAACAGCCCCCAGGTAGGTAACATCACCCTGAGTGGCCGTGTGACTCACCCTGGGTCACACAGCTGGCCAGGAGCCTTGGGCCAGTCTGGCTCCAAGTCTGTCACCTTCGCTGTGCAGCCTCTGCCATGCTGCTCCTAGAAAAGTGGTGAAACAAGGGTTGGCCAACAGGAATACTGAGACACCCAGAGTTGTGTAGACAAGATGGTTCTCTTTAAGAGGACTCATGTTAACAGACTGGAGTGGTGTTTCCAAGGGAATGGGGTGGAGAGGTGGAGGGAAGGCTCACGGCCTGAGGTCAGGGGCAGTGCTGGCTAAACCCTGGCTTGGGAGTGTGGCTGCCTGGGGTTGGATCTGGCTTAGACTGGGTACTCAACTTTCTTAAGCTACAGACTCATCTTCCTTAGGAGCCCCACCTTATAGGTGGCATGAAATTGAATGTGATAGAGTGTCAAGGGCTCTGCAATATGCTTGGTACATTCTAAGAAGTCAAGGGCCAGGTGCAATGGCTCATGCCTGTAATCCCAACACTTTGGGAGGCCAAGGTAGGAGGATCACTAGAGGCCAGGAGTTTGAGACCAGCCTGAGCAACATAGCAAGACCACACAATGGAATATTATGCAGCCATAAAGAAGGGCAAACATATGAACTTCGCAGCAACTTGGACGGATTTAGAGTCGATGATACTCAGTGATCGATCACAGAAACAAAGAATGGAGTATCATATGTTCTTACTCATAAGCGGAACTTGAACAATTATCATAATACTATAAGAAAGAGATTGGAAGTAGTGTGAAACTGCCAGGGGAGGGGGGCGGGATTGGCAGTTGAGCGAAACTGCTAGGGGAGGGAGGAGCACACCTCATTTACAAGGGTACCTGCATAATCAACGTTTGTACACCTAACTCTGAATTGTACCCCACATCTTTAAAATTAAAAAAAAAGTGGGCGAAAGATATGAATAGACACTTCTCAAAAGAAAACATATGAGCAGCCAACAGATACATGAAAAAATGCAGTACCTGTAGACCTAGAAAGATGGCAGAGGAAGAGCAAAGAAAAATCCTTTTGGTTCCAAAAAATCTCCTGAGAAAGAGGAAGGCTTATCAAGCTCTCAAAGCCACTCAGGCAAAGCAGGCACTTTTGGCAATGAAGGAGCAAAGAAAAGGAAAAGGGCTCAAGTTTAAGCAATTGGAATTGTTCCTATATGATTCCTGGAGGCAGATACATGACAGTGTGCATCTCAGAAGACTAGAAGTGAAACCTCATGCCTTGGAATTGCCAGATAAACATTCATTGGTCTTTGTTGTACGCATCCAAAGAATTGAGGGGTGAGTTCACTGGTGCAGAGGACCATTGCAAGACTTCACCTGAAAAAAATTTTCAGTGGTGTCTTTGTCAAAGTCACCCCCAGAGCCTAAAAATGCTGTGTATTGTGGAACCCTATGTGACCTGGGGATTTCCAAATCTGAAGTCTGTCCGGGAACTCATCTTGAAACGTGGACAAGCCAAGGTCAAGAATAAGATCATTCCTCTGACAGACAACACATTGATTGAGGAACACTGGGGAAGTTTGGTTCATTTGCTTGGAAGATCTCATTCATGAAATTGCCTTCTCGGGAAAGCATTTCCAGGAGATCTCATGGTTCTTGTGCCCTTTCCAACTCTCAGTAGCCCATCATGCTACCAAAAATAGAGTAGGCTTCGTCAAGGAGAAGGGCTCACCTGGCTATCCGGGTGAACACATCAATCAGCTAATCTGCCTGCTGAAGTAGACCTAGAATACCTGAAAGCACAGTGCATTGGAAGCACGTGTTTTTGTTTTTTGGAATTGACATCGAGTATCTTCAGAGAAGATTATTTGGGACTCTTCCTTCAAAAACTGGAAGGAAAGGGTCAGGGAAAAGACAGAAGATTATGTTAACAGCAGGCACCTCTCATCACAGTCCAGTTCCAAGGAAAAATTCCAATGTTCTCCACGTTGACTGCCCCCACCTCTGAAATCAATATATGTCATGCAGGAAGGAGTCTCATTTTGTCACATCTTCTGTCCTGAGGTTCAGTATTGGTGAATGAATAAAGCAAGCATGTGTACAAGACTCCTGCAGCAGTGGACCAAGCCCAAGGGCATACTTGAATCTGGAGGTTCCTGGGGCTTGCTTTGAAAAGACTTGAAATACACTTAAGAACAAGAGCACAGAAACAAAAAAAAAAAAAAGAAAAGAACAAAAAGAAAAAATGCTCAGCCTCACTAGTCATCAAAGAAATGCAAATTAAAATCACACTGAGATACCACATAACTCAGGTCTGGATGGCCATCATCAATAACTTAAAAAACAACAGATGCTGGAGAGAATGAGGTGAAAAGTGAACACTTCTACATAGCTGGTGGGAGTGTAAACTAGTACAACCAGCTAGGATTTTGACAAGGATTGTATTAAGTCTGCAGATCAATTTTGGGAGTATTGCCATCTTAATAAGTCTCCTAATCTATAAACATGGACTGTTTTTCCATTTATTTATGTCTTTCAACAATGTTTTATAGTTTTTAGAGTACAAAATTTGCATTTCGAAAATCATATTTATTCCGAAATATTTTATTCTTTTTGATATTATAAATGGAATTGCTTTATTACTTTCATTTTTGAATTTTTTATTGCTAGTGTAGTGAGATACGATTGATTTTTGTACGTTGTACTATAACCTTGCTTATGTGCTATAACCTTGCTGAACTTGTTTATTAGCGCTCATAGTTTTTGATTGATTCATTATGATTTTCTACATATGAGATCATATTATCTACAAATAGAGATAGTTTTACTTTTTCTTTCTAATCTAGTTGATTTTTATTTCATTTTCTTGCCTACTTGACCTGGCTAGAAACTCTAGTACAATGTTAAATAGAAGTGGTAAGAGTGAACATTTAGCCCGGACAACTTGGGGAGACCTCATCTCCACAATAAATCACAAAATTAGCTGGGCGTGGTGTCGAACACCTGTAGTTCCAGTTACTTGGAAGGCTGAGGTGGAAGGATTGCCTGAGCCCAGCAAGAAAAAATGCTCAGCCTCACTAGTCATCAAAGAAATGCAAATTAAAATCACACTGAGATACCAGTAACTCCAGTCAGGATGGCCATCATCAATAACTTAAAAAACAACAGATGCTGGAGAGAATGAGGTGAAAAGTGAACACTTCTACATTGCTGGTGGGAGTGTAGAGAGGTCGAGGCTGCAGTGGCCGTGAGTGTGCCACTGCACCCAGCCTGGGTGAAAGAGTGAGACTGACTCAAAAAAAACAACAACAAAAAAGTGAACATTGTCTTACTCCTTTTCTTACTGAAATAGCATTTGGTCTTTCACTATTAAGTATGACGTTAACTGTGGGATTTTAAAAAGATAGATGCCCTTCGTGTTAGCACACACCTGTAATTCCGGCTACTCAGAAGGCTGAGGCGGAAGGATAGCCGGAGCCTGGCAGGTTGAGGCTGCGGTGGCCGGGAGCGGCCACTGCACTCCAGTCTGGGCGACAGAGTGAGACTCCAACTCAAAAAAAAAAAAAAAAAGATAGATGCTCTTTATCAGAAGTGTCTGAGGAGAAGAGAGTCAGCAAGAAAGCAATGGAAAATAGATGTTGGTGGGTTTCTCACTGAAGGTCTGTGCTCTGCCTTTTGAGCTAAAAGAAGATAAAACCTGTGACTACCCAAGTCATTCAAGAACAGAGCCAGACTGTGCC